TGGAGAGGAGTTACAAAAGCATTTGTTCCATACTTTTAGAATAAAGTATTGGGGGAACCAACTATATGCTGATTGGAATTGGAAACTCGAAGCGCTGATCAGAATATGCTGTGTGCTCTGTACACCAAGGTGGAAATTTCTATGGCTATTACAGGGAACCTCACAAAGGTGAAATTAGGGAAATTAACCAGAGTAGTGAGGAGGGAAACTTACCAGTGGAGCCTTCTAACTTGAGGTGTACTCGGACACTTATTTTGACGTTGGTGGGATTTCAGGAGCAGATTGAAAGGAGAGAAGACAGCAACACAGTTGGCTAAGGGGACATTCTGAGCACATAATGATGTTTGACTGACTTTGGAATCAGGAGTGGACCAGCAGGTCATCTAGGTGGTGCAGTGGATAGAGCACTTCAGTCCAAACACTTGACACTTAATAGCTGTGTGACCCTGGGCAAGTCACTTAACCCTGATTGCCTCACTTAAAAAAAAAAAAGTGGACCAGGCAGATAAAAGAGTATATGGAAAGTAGACAATTATTGACTTTTTTTAAGGCAATTGGGGTTAGGTGACTTGCCCAGGGTCACACAGCTAGTAAGTGTGTGGATTTGAATTTGAACTCAGGTCCTCCTGACTTCTAGGTGCCCCACAATTATTGACTTCTAATACTGAGCTCTCATACCACTCCAATTCCCAGTTTGATGAGGTATCTGAACCTGGTGTAATGCTGACCACCTGGAGAGAGAGACCTATGTGGTGAAGTACAGCATAGAGTCTAGAAACTGTCTTCCGACCGATATGAAATTGAGATTTGCCACCTAGGCCTAAGTCACCCCCCCTTTTCTTCTTCTTCTCCTCTTTCAGTTCTCAGTTAGTTGGACCCACGTGATCCAGTTTAGTGGAGAACTAGGATTTGTATGAGGGAATTATTCCAGCAAAGAGGGATTTTGTGTCCTAGCAGAAGAGAATGAAGTTGCCTTTCTGCACAATATTCTCCAGCCTGGAAAACTGGACTGCCATATTCTTTGAGGGCTTCCTGATCTCCTATCAAGTTGTGGGTAAGTATCCATCCCATGAGGGTTATGAAGAAAGGGTGACCTTTGCCACAAAACACATTCTGTGTGTAACTAGCTATACCTGAACCTGGAGCAGAATCAGCCAAGGAGGGCAACAACTCAAAGAATACAGACTGAAGGCAGATGCTATCTCATAGGGAGAGGGGATGGTCTGTCCTCATAAGAGATCAGCCTTCATCCCTGAAGAGTCTAGGAGGAAGATAAGCCTGGGGGAGAGGCATCATGGCAGTGGGATGCTGGGAGTGGCAAGTGGATCCATTGTGCCATTTTTAGTTAGGAGACCTAGAGGTGAAGCACGGGGATTGTAGTCATCTTGAAGAGGAAATTCAACCCCTCTCTCCAATTGTTGGTGGGCTGGGGCAGAGTTCTTTTCACTCTGGGCTCTACTGGAAGGGTTAGTATACCTGGTCTAAGCAGCGTTGAGTTGTAAGTAGCTCTCAGGAAAGAACTCACCAGTTAGAGATCTGTTATGAATTCAAAAGGCAGAGAGACCTGCCCCAAATAATTACCCGATACTGGAGAAAGGGTAGTAGAAGATGCTCAGGGTGACTTGAAGGAAATTCTTTGTGAGAGGAGGCTAAAGGAAGAGGTTATGGATCTTTTTTTTCCTCTATAGCCATGACCTGCAGCCCTCCCCAAAACCTGTCCAATAGCGGTTTGGAGTATGTTACAAGGTCTGGAGAAGATATCTACCAAGATAAGATCCCTTACCCATGCCATGAGCCATGTTACAAGATAGTGCCCACCATGGACAGTGACCAGCCTCTACCTGGTAAGGAATCAGTCTTCGATTAATCTAGCCCCCCAAGACAAAAAGCTTCTATGCATGTGTCTACCCTCCAAATTCTAAACACTTTAGTTTATCTCTTCATGATGTCCCCCAAGAAACATTCAACGGCTCAACCCAGGACATCTGGAAAGGCAGAGAGAGAAGTGGGAAGATTCCTCAATGTAGTAAGCACTTAAATGCTTGTTAACTTGACTGAGAAGAAATTGACAACTTCAGATGACCACTTTATGTAACCTCAAGCAAATCCCTTTACCTTACTGAGCTTTGGTTTATGAGGTTTATCTGTAAAATGAGAGACTGGGCTAGAATATAGTTACTAAATGATCTCTAAGGTCCTCCTCCCTCCCATCTGGCTTTAACGTTCTTTGCATTAGTAAAAGAGAGGAAAAAAGCAAAGGTAGGAGAAATGAAAGAGAAAACAATATCCCAGGATTTTAGAGCTGGAAGGAGCCTAAGTGGTCATCCATTCCAATGCACACCTGAAAAGAAATCCCCACAGTTGGTCAGTCATGTCCAATTTTTCATGACCCTATTTGGGGTTTTCTTGGGAAAGATACTGGAGTGGTTTGCCGTTTTTTTCTCCAGTTCATTTTACAGATGAGGAAACTGAGGCATACAGGGTGAAGTAATTTGCCCAGGGTCATACAACTAGTAAGTATCAGAAGCTGTATTTGAACTCAGATCTTCCTGACTCTGGGCCCAGGGTTCTATCCACTGTGCCACGTCGCTGCCCTGGGATCCTCACTATTCTGAACCTGTCTATGATTGTAGACCTTCAATCAGGGGTGTGCTGAACCAGCTCATAAAGACGTGGGATAGCCCATTACTAAAGTTTCACTGTGAGCATTTAAAGCTCAGAAATTGGCAAATGCTACAGATTTATTGTTGTGTTGATTGTTTGGAGAAAATGTTAGTGGTGCAGATTAAACTTAAAAATGTGTCCTGCTGGTTGTTAAACATTTACCAGCAAATCCCTGCCTCCCATGCACCAGAGAAAGGAAAAAACAAGATCCTGCTGACTTATAGAAGAAAGAGTTCTGCCTTTAGATTAACCACAGAGTCAGGTGGGGGAAAAAGGTCTTAGAGGAAGGGAAGGTCCAAGAGAAGGGGACAGGAGCAGATTGTGTAAGAGGATCATAATTTTAGGTAACTTAGGACCTAAGAGATCATTTAGTAGGGCCCTCTAATAGATGCGTTAACTGAGACCCAAAGAACTTAAGTGACTGCTCACTTCAGCTAGTAAGTGGCATCAGAGCCCTAACTGAAATTTCTACATCAGGGGTAATTATTGTAGACTCGAAGTAGCAAGTAACAAAAAAGTCAGGATGTGGAGTTAGAAACACCATCTCGGGGCAGCTAGGTGGCACAGCGGACAGAGCACTGGCCCTGAAGTCAGGAGGACCTGAGTTCAAATCCAGCCTCAGACCAAACACTTGACACGTACTAGCTGTGTGACCTTGGGCAAGTCACTTAACCCTGATTGCCTCACCAAAAAAAAAAAAATTAGAAACACCATCTTGTGACAGGAGACAGAGACACCAAGACACCCTGAGCCTATTACTGGGGAAGCTGCCCTTCCACTATATCCCAGGAATCAGGTTATTTGCAACTTCCTCACTGTTTCTCATAGACTAGGGCAGGGAGCAGCAAATATGGCCCTTGGGCTTTGGCCCACAATGTGTTTATTGTATTTTAAAATATTAAAAAAAAACTTTCTTAGCTTCTACAAAAAGAGGCATCAGGCTGCACTGTGCTGTCATTTGCCCACCCTTGGGTAAGTGGATAGAGAGCTAACCCTGGAACTGGGATGACGTGGCTGTGGGACCCTGGGCAAGTCACTTAATTTCTCTTTGCCCCTTGGCAACTTTATAACCAGAAGTTGCTGATCTACATTAGCAAAAGGAGTTTTCTCACTAGAGAGCTTCCTACTCCAATATAATTACAGACCTGAATTCTTCCTCCCTCCCCAAGCCATTTTCCAATTCTTGACAACTAGGTGCTAAATTTAGCTGTTTCTTCTTGGACTTGGCATCCAAGAAATCTGACTTGTATGGTAAAGGGGGCTGGGGATTATCGATCCTTACAGCAAATAATTAGATGATTTGGGGAATGGAGATGAAAAGGGACTGGAAGTCAACCCTACTAAAATCCTCAAAGTATCGTGTAAAAGCTGAAAGAGTCCTTAGGGATCACCATTTTTATAGGAACTGAGGCCCCAGAAATGGAAATTGGCTTGTCCAAGGTCACAGAGACAGACTCATTCAACTTTTACTGAAATTGAGACAGGACTGAGAAGGACTCAAATAGAAGCAGAGCAGCATAGATTCACAGACTGGTGAAGGATTGGAGACGGGGATGTACTGGAGTCAGCTGATCAGGGAGCCGACTGTTACATTTTCAGTATGAGTATTTCCACCTAGGAAATCAGCAAATGCTATCAACCAGGACTTGATACAGTGTGGCCATGTGCGCCCTCAAGGCATCCCACCCCCACCACAGACTTAAGAAAGTGATGGAGAAAATGTTAATAACGCAAATTAAACTTTAAAATGTGTCCTAAATAATGACTACCCTATTGTTCAGCAGAAAGAGCAATGGCTTTGGAGGACCCCAATTCAAATCCTGCCTTGTTCTCAACCAATAAACATTTTTAAAAAACAGCTAGTAAACATTTATTAAGCACCGTGGTTTTCTAAGTCAATATATACCTGCAAGGATTCCTCTCTGTCTTAGTTTGACACCGCTGAATAAGACATAGGTCTATTGTCTCCCTAACCTTTGCTCCCAGAGGAGAGAGGTGACTGTACCTCCATCTTCTACTAACCAGAGACATGCCTATGCCTCAGTACTTCCAACCAAAAGAGGCATAAGTTTTTACTAGCATAATAACATTTGCATATTAAGTAATTAACCAAATTTTACATCTACCACTGTTAATGCAGAGAATTCCATGAGAGCTGTTCTACTACATTATGCAGAGCTTAACTAGTACTTTGCCAACTAGACTAGTGTTTTCCAACTTAAATGTAACCTAAGTCTCAAAGCTGCATCAATGACTTAACCTCTGATTTCACTGCTGTAGGAAATCTCACCCAAAGAAATTCTCCCCTCTAGATCAGCATCTGCTCTGAAATGTGAGGGTTGCTTGGGGCATTAAATAACTTGTCCAGGGTCACATAGCCTGTATGTATCACAAAAAGGACTCGAACCTACGTCTCTTATCTATTAGGCCATAGCTGCCTTTCAGAACTGCAGTGTAATTCCTTTTAAAAAGTTATTGATGTTTTGTTTTTTAATATCAATTTACCCCTTTATGTTTCCCCCTCCTCAAGGAGCCATAATTTATATATTTTTTAAAAATTCTTTCATTAATCTGTCCTTCCCACTACCTTCATTGAGTAAATGTTTTAAAACCCCCCAAAATAAAGTCGATAAATGCATAGATGCATAGTCCAGCAAAAAAATTCACATTGTCCATTTCTGAACATTCATGTCTCTCATGCAGTATAATTTTTTAATTTTCTATTTCAGATTGTTCAGTTAATGATTCTCAGTGATTCAGAGGGTAAAAACCAGGAGGAGGGAGTCAAGGGTGAGAGAAATAGGATGCAGGAAGAAAATGCAGTTGATTTTTAAGGTTTATAGATTGTTAAGAAGAACCTTTGGTAGAAAAGATTTTGCAAAGCACTAAAAATAAGATTTGGTCCACTGTATGACACTTAGGAAGCACTGAACTGGATTGTGGTCCGCAGGTCTCAGGTAGGACCTTCGGAGAAGTATTCCTGCTTCAGGATTTTAAAAATTCTTCCCGGGATGAAAAAAATGACAGAGGGACACAGAAGGGAAATGTCAAGTAGGGTGAAGGAAGAGAAGAGACCCAAATCAATTGTACAACTAGGCAGCTCCATATGATTTAAGACATCTCTCTCCATCCCTAGAAAATCACCCCTAGTCAGATGCCTAACATCTCATCATTAGACTTCAATTCCTCTGATTTAAGGTCCTCTCTTTTAAAATGCCAATACCCCTGAGAGGGGTAACCCAGCATATCACTAATACCTCCAGACAAATGAATTGCTAATCACTTTCCTTATGAAACTGGTGAGATTCCCAAGGTAATATGAGCCAAGTGGAGAGAATGGATACATACTGAGAAGGAAGGAAAAGGCCACATAGGAGACAAATCAACATACTTCATCATTTTGCTCAAAATTTTCCCCTCTAGATATCCAAAGGGCAAAGTTCCAATGAAGCAGGAGAGATAAAGCAGAACATTAGGAGAAGAATAGGGACAGATATTGGACCTGTCATTTCACTGATTTGGGAAACTCTTGGATTTGGAAGCTCCCTCTACCAGTGTAGGTTGGCACCTCTTTCCAACTCACAGTCTTAGAAAGTTGCCTAGAGGATTGAGAGCTTTAGTAACATACATACCAGAATGTGCTGGAGGCAAATCTTCCTGGCCTCTGAAGCCTGCTGTCTATCTAGCATGCCCTGCTGCTTCTCATAGCAGGTGAGCCAATTCAAAAATAAGCCCTCAATTCTTGCTCATGAATACTCAGTTCACTTACCTGTAATATACATGATTTTGTCTACATTTCTTAATTGTTTGCATCGTTAACTATTCTAGATCCAAGATTTATACCTGTCTTAAATGGTTATTTTCCTGAATCTCATTCTCAGCAGAGGGAGGTAGCTATGTGGCTCTCTTTGTAGAGTGGACAGTACCTTGGTTATTAATATAAATGACATTCTCTTCCTTTCCTTTCTTGACTTCCAGTGTGTGGACAACCATCTACCCCTATTGACCGGGATCAGGGGGCCCTTGGTGCAGCTAAAGCAAAGCTGGGAAACTTCCCATGGCAGGCACTCACCATTATCTATGGGCGTGGAGGAGGAGCTCTGCTTGGGGATCGCTGGATCCTCACAGCTGCCCATACCATCTACCCTAAGGACAGCTTCTTCAAGAAGAACCAGAGTGTGGATGTTTTCCTAGGACACACAGACGTAGAGGAGCTCATAAGGCTGGGGGCTCACCCTGTCCGTAGGGTCATTGTGCACCCAGACTACCGCCCAGAAGAGCCAAACAACTTTGAAGGTGACATTGCATTGCTGGAATTAGAGAAAAGTGTCCCCCTGAGCCCCAACCTCCTCCCCATCTGTTTACCGGACAATGAGACTCTCTACAGCAGTGACTTGATGGGCTACGTCAGTGGCTTTGGGGTGGAAAGGGGCCACCTGGTTAGCCAGCTGAAATATGTGAGTCTGCCCATTGCCAAGCGAGAGGCTTGTGAGGCCTGGCTTCTGGAGAAAAACAGAACTGAGGTGTTTTCCTCAAACATGTTCTGTGCTGGAAACAGGACCATAAAGCAAGACGCTTGCCATGGGGATAGTGGAGGAGTCTTTGCTGTGTGGGACAATACTACTGAGCATTGGATGGCCTTGGGCATTGTGTCCTGGGGCATTGACTGCAGCAAAGGGTATGGCTTCTACACCAAGGTCCTCAACTATGTGGACTGGCTCAGGAGCATAATGGAAGGGGAGGCCTGAGCCCAGGGTTGCTCTAGCCTTGACTTCGAAATCGCCATAGGTTTGAGGTGCTCAAAGTGTGGTTTCAGGAAATCCACAAAGTCAAAACTATTTTCATAACAACACTGTCATTTTAATTCTAATATGGCAAATATCAGTAGATATAACCCACATAAACAAAATTTATTTGGGGTCTTCAACAATTTTTAAGAGTGAAAAAGATGCTGAGACTGAAAAGTTTGAGAACCACTGCTATAGAGAAAGAAAATGACTCTTTGATGTATCAAAATTGCTTCCCAAGCATACATACTAAAATCACTGATTCAGAACCCAAAGGTGTAAAATGAGTTGTCTTCTCCCCTATCCTCATCCACCTCCAGTAACTAAAACAGATCTGAGAAGTAAATAGTATTCTACAGCCTCTTTCTCCCAGTACCCTGCCTGCGTACTGGTTTCCACAAATCCCTGTGGGGCTCCATCAAAGGAACTCTCCCATTCAATCTTTTTTTTTAAATTAAATTAAATTTTTTGTTACATTTTAAGTTCTGAACAGTCTCTTTCCCTCCCTCCCTCCCCACTCCACATTAGAGAAGGCTACCATTTGACACAGATGTATAAATATATGTAGAACTATACTATGTGTACTTCTATTTATCAATTCTTTCTCTGGAGGTGGATAGCATCTTCCTTCATAGGTCCTTAATAGTTCCATTCATTTTTGACTTCTTATTAACTTCCTGTTCATCTTAACACTGCAGAAGCCGAACAATTCCCGATGACCCAACCTCCTCTTTTCCATTAAGAATTGCTGGCTGCACCCTGACTCAGGCAAGAGAAGAGTAGGTCAGTCTTTTCCTTACTCTCCAATGACATTTTAAAACAAAATCTCACTACCCTTGTTCCTTCACCTTCAAGGTTCGTGCTACTTTCCCCTACCACTTAATGTTACTCTTGGTTATCTACCAGACCCCAATTCTTCTTCCCTGGTACCTGCTACCCTTCTCTTTCTTTGAGTACTTTAAAATTAACTGACCCATGTTCATAGAATCTTAAATTCAGAGTTACAAGGAAACTTCAAGATTATCTACTAACCCTCCTCCTTTTCCAATTGAGAAAACTGAGACCCAGAGAAGGTGAATGATTTGCCCAAGAGCAGGCAGGTAGCAGCTGGGATTCACCCCAAAACCATCTGATTCCAAATCCAAATTTGTTTCCACTCTGCCATGCTGAGTAGCTGAGAGCCTCATAAACAAGCTCTTTTGCCTTTGAAAGTTTAGGTAAAGGAAGAGTTTATGACCAGGCAAGAGATAGAGAGGATTATTGGAAGTGTAATGGATTATTTTGATGATGTGAAATTAAAAAGCTTTTGCACAAGCAAAACTAATGCAGTCAAAAGTAGATGGAAAACAGGAAAAAGGGGGAGGCAGAATTTTATAGTAAGTTTCTCTAATAAGGGCCTCATTTCTCAGATGTATAGGGAACTGAGCCAAACTTATAAAAAGAAGAGCCATTGTCCAGTTGATAAATGGTCAAAAGATAAGAACAGGCAGTTTTCAGAAGAAGAAATCAAAACTCCCAATAGTCACATGAAAAAATGCTCTAAATCACTACTGATTAGAGAAATGCAAATTGAAACAACTCTGAAGTACCACCTCACACCTGTCAGATTGATTAATATGACAGAAAAGGAAAATGACAAATGTTGGAGGGGATATGGGAAAATTAGGACACTAATGCACTGTTGGTGGAGTTGTGAACTAATCCAAACATTCTGAAAAATAATTTGGAACTATGCTCAAAGGGCTATAACACTGGACATACCCTTTGACCTAGTGGTACCACTACTAGGTATATCCCAAAGAGATCAAAGAAAAGGGAAAAGGACCTATTTGTATAAGAATATTTATAGCAGTTTATTTTGTGGTGATAACAAATTTGAAATCAAGGGGATGCCCATCAATTGGGGAATGGCTGAACAAGTTACAATATATGATTGTGATGAAATACTATAGTGCTATAAGAAATGATGAGCAGAATGGTTTCAGAAAAACCTGAGAAGATTTATATGAACTCATGCAAAGTGAAGTGAGCAGAACCAACAGAACATTATACATAGTAACAGCAATATTGTAAGAATGATCAACTGGTGAAAGACTTAGCTACTCCAATCAAGACAATGATCCAAAACAATTCCAAGGGATGCATGATGAAAAATGCTGTCCACTCCCAGAGAGAGAACTGATGAACTCTGAATGCAGATTGAGGCATATTTTTTCTTTCTCTCTTTTTCTTTTTTTTTTCTTTTTTTTTCTGTGTTTTCTTTTGCAGCATGGCTAAGATGAAAATATGTTTGCATGGTGTCACATGTGTAATTATTATCAATTGCTTTCCTTTGCAAGGAGGAGGGAGTGGAAGGGAGGAAGAGAATTTGGAACTCAAAATGTTAGAAAAAAATGTTTAAAAATTTACATTTAATTGGGAAATATTGAATGAAATTAATAAAAAACATTTTATAAAAAGAAAGTTCATCAGATAAGTTATACAGAAATTCTGGTTGATGATTAAACTGAACTATATTTAAATAGCATAGCATTTTTTTTTCACTTTAACATGAGCATAAGGAGTTTTTGCCCTAATGCATCTAATCTCTGAAAATTAATCCATGAACACCAATTTCAGAAAGGTGTTTTTCTTGCCATGTAACACAATAGAAAAAACACTGGCTCTGGAGTCAGCAGATCTCCCTGGATTCAAATCTCACCTCTATCCTTTCCTACCTGTGTGATCTTGGGGAAGTCCCTTAACCTCTCTGAGTCTCAGTTTCCTCACCTGTAAAATGAAGGGGTTGGACTTCAGGCTCAGAAATCATCTCTGAGGTCCCTTCCAGACCTGTGCCTCTGATCATTCATTTTATTCGGGTTTTTTTGTTGTTGTTGTTTTTGTTTTTGCCTTTTTTGTGAGGCAATCGGGTTAAGTGACTTGCCCAAGGTCACACAGCTAATACAAGTCAAGTGTTTGGTCTGAAG